TATATTGTAAATGTAGTTATTTGATGTGTTATCCTTTCTTCAGTAGTTGCAGTTTGTACATATTTAGTCTTGAATTTTGTTCTTACATTTCCTTTTCCGATTCTGTGATCTGTGGTGAGAGAGTCTTTCGTTTTGTTGAGCTGTTGTTCTATTGGAATTCAAAACTATGTCTCAGGTTCAGCACTAAGTCGCTGCTTCGATGACTGTACAAATAACTTTCCATTAAATAATTCATATATTCTTTCCCTCTCGCCGATAAAGAGAAGATTGCCCACTTTTTAGGTAACAGGAACTAAGTAAATTCTTCTCTTCCTACTAATTTGCATTTTGCTACTCAACATTGTCCATCTTGTAACAAAGAGAGAACATGCGTATCTTGTACCAAAGGGACAACCGTGTCCATCTTGTACCAAAGGGAGAACAGTGTCTCTCTTGTACCAAAGGGACAACATTGTCCATCTTGTACCAAAGGGACAACATTGTTCATCTTGTACCAAAGGGACAACCGTGTCCATCTTGTACCAAAGGGACAACATTGTCCATTTTGTACCAAAGGGACAACCGTGTCCATCTTGTACCAAAGGGACAACCGTGTCCATCTTGCACCAAAGGGACAACAGGATTCCTACAGTTGGCAAAGAAGTAAACAACTGTCGATCAAGATGGTCATAAATGTTGTTTTTACATTAAATATGATAATTTATTGTTGGCCCAAATCCAGTAAGCTAGATTGATTAAAGCTGATTCCAATCAAAGTAAAAGGAGAGCTTTATCAACACTTTACACCCAAAATATGTCATATCGGTAATACGTGTTAAATTGTAAGCGATTAGACCGACTGCAATATGTATTACATCTACACAAATAGAGGAAATATGTTAAGTTTTCACTTAATTAAAATCCGACTGACGTACCTTCTGTAACGGGAATGTATGCTGTGTTCATGCAGAAAACATGTGTCCCCCTTGGCATTATTTTCCCGTAACAAATATTGCGGACACATATTTGAGTCCGAGTTATAAATTAATAACACAAAACAATATATAAAACAAACGAAAATGCATTTTTTAACAAAAGTATTGCAATTACACTAAACGAGTAATATATTTAAAGATTGCTTCATAAAGTGTTAGAATTAACGTGCTTTAATTAATGTGCTTTGTGAAGATTGTGTATGCCTACATGATAGACCGGTGTGTGGAAGAGTACAAAAAGTCATGAGAGAAAAGTAAGGCATTAATATGAACGTTCTCCAGTGAGGGACACTTTTTCCCATGTGCGACTACATCTTACAGACAAAGAAGTGTGAATATGATTTCCTATTTATAGATAAAGCGTCCCCTAACGTCGGTTTTTTGAAGAAAGTCAAGTGGGATAACACACACTTCCTAATGACAGACTTTTTTTCTTCCATTCGTAAAAGAGACAATTTTAGCGTTATTTTCCACATTTATGTCAAGTCTGCGCAGTCAATTTTGCCCGTAACGTTCTGTCGATTTCATTTTTATTATATTCACAGTCTTCTCTTTTAATTGACTTCAGCTCAGGAAGGAATTATGTCACCGAAAAGAATAAATGACTTGTACTCTTTATTGTTGATTTCTACATTGCTAAAAGACTGTCTTTTTGTTCATGACATATTGTTCATCTGGACGTATTCATCTTGCAGATGCTGTTTGTCTTCTGTTAAATGTGTAGAAAATATCTGAATAAATATTTAGATATTATGAAAGCGGCGATATTTTGATATGCGAATCAAATAATGCTTCTCTGGTTTTTCTTTTTCCTTATTAGGTTTCCGAATAATTGTTTAATCATTTCACCCCAAGCAAGGCCGGAATGTCACTAATACGCGGAGGTTACAAGGAATAAAAGTGAAAAAAAAAAGACTGAGAATAGGGAGGATTGAGGAAAGGACAAAAGATGAATTGGATTCAAGACAACAGAAGGTGACGATTGACGTTGAATTTAACTTTTTGAAGATTGTATTTATCAGGAGAGTAAGTGAACGGAATGGAGTGATTGAAAAGAAACTGTTGGAGTAGGTGGTTACATTTAACTATTTCAACAGTAAAATGGCGGGACCTAGATGCCAATCTATTAGCACACAACCTAAACGCTCTTTATTTCGTTAAAGATTTTAACCGGATTCTTATCTGAATACAATTGGAAAGAGAATAATTCACTCATCAAATTAAAACCAGATTTCGTTACCGTTTGGCAATTGAAAGGACGAAAGAACTTAAATTTACCTTGGCGCACGAAAAAGAGGAACACGAAACGAAACAATAAATTATTATGCAATAAAGTAAATTCATTTATGTTTAATGTGTTTATTAAAGAGATAAATTCAACATTAAGCATAAATTTTTCATATTTATCAGTCAAAAAAATCAAATTAAATCTGAAATGCTTGTTTATTGAAAAAATATTCACCTCGATCACTCGTTGAATATTTTAAAATGATAAAGGATTATTTTCATATTAAATTATTTATGTGTCATAATTAGAAAAAAAAACGTGGCTATGTCTCAGACAGCTTACTCCCAAAGAATCACTGATGTTCTACATTGACTATCAAGCTAATCTTATTTGATGTTCTGCTATAATAGTCTATAATCAGATTAAAATATACTTACTAATATCTACTAGACATCAGTCATATAGGTCGTTACTCTTCCATGCTTGACAGGTAGACTTAAATATTTTTACCAAATATTATTACGACCTTTTCATTTTATAGTTTTTATATTTAAAAATCCTTGATTTATACGTTAAAAGGTGTTAGAGTCACTACTGTATTTTGATACCTACCTCAAATTAATAATTCGCTGGAAATTTCTCCTACTTTGTTAATAGAACCCATCGGCTTATTAGGCGCGGGCTAGTATCTTCTCTCACAGTGCATGTTTAGTTTAGAGGGTGTAGCCCTTCACTGAATGTTCCAGGATACTTAAACTCAGTCAGACAGATCTCTGTTTTCTACTGGACGTAAAGTCATCTGTCTCCATTATGAAGTTATTTTATAAAGTTATTCTTTCCACCATAATCAAAAAAACAGTTTAGAATTTGATGTAAGTTTTCCATTCAAAATAAGAAATTGTTTTCTGATATCGAGATTAAAAATCAAACATCATTGAATATTTAGTTTCGATTTCATGTATCAGCAGGATTCAAAGTCTTTTCTTTGAACATGAAATAGATTATGATGTTAAAAGATTCGGATATTAATCTTAGTCTGACACAGGAACACGTCAGATAAGGAACGATTATATTTCAATCCTCCAAGTGGTTAAGTCGCTCTGTGAATGAGCATGCCTATAGTGTAATGTTTAGCAGCTCGGAAAGAGCTGAGTTCGAATTCTGGTTGAGTTCATTACATTCCCCTTTGCACAGGGAGCCTTCAGAAAGGAATGAACGCCTTTCTTTTCTCTGTCCAGCTATGGGTTAAATAGCAGAACATACTTGTCTCTCTAACATTGGTTGGCAACCAGCCTCTGAATATTTCAACCTGTCGAAGCGCATATTACAGAACCATTCAAACTCTGACGTGGATTGTGGGTTTTATGATCGCGACTGAAGTCGAAAGATGGCTGACTGATTTCAAAATTTTAACTAGTAGAAAATACATCACCACGGGTCTTCCTGCTATAGAATAACTTGATTTGATCGGCTCTAAAGATATCAAATAAGCCAGCATTTATATCTCTATCTATAAAAGGCAGCATGTGTGTGTGTGTGTGTGTGTGTGTGTGTGTGTGTGTGTGTGTGTGTGTGTGTGTGTGTGTGTGTGTGTGTGTGTGTAACGAATGCACGGCCGCAATTTTCGATGGATTTGCACCAGAATTTACATGCACATGCTCCAAGTTAGTGGGAACGCCAAGACCGACTTTGCATTTCCCAACTCCCATCGATAGTGGAAATAATCGATATTTTCATGCTTCTACGGCAGTTTTCATGTAGTTTGCGGCCATTTTCTACTGGCCAGAGTGAAAGCCTATAGCTGGCTGGCACGAATAGGCAGGAAAATTCTACTGCCCAACGTGAGAACCAACAGCTGACTGACACGAATGTTAACTAGCATGCAAAAAAATGGATAGCTGCATTCGTCACAAGTGGGAAAAATCTAAATCTGCATGGTACTTTATTCCAATTGACTCATTCGCTTGCTTAAACTCAACGTTGATTCTGATTCCACAGAACTGGGTTGGGTGTGAAAAAGTATTTGTTGTTAATATGTTTTTCCATTCGGTTTTTCCAGTTACGAGTCCTTTTTTAAAGCTGATCGTTTTGTGTTCATTTTGTTTAGTTCTTTTTTCGTAACAGATTTAATGTTTAGTATAGAGCTTAGAAAAAATTCGCAGTGGGAGACAAGAAGTAAGGCATGTAGCAACATCAGCACGGCAAAGGGCACTCCTTTAAAGGCAAGGAAGGGCAAAAATATCAAAGTCAAGTGATAGCGATTGCTGTATGAGTCGTACGATTTTTGACTTAAGCACGGGCAACGCCGGGCCATGCTGCTAGTGAAAGATAAACACATTTTCAATCTTGTTAAAACTTGGATTTGGGGGGATAATAAATCTTTAAAAAATACAATATTCTTCAAAATCACTACCAAAGACATTCTTTTAAGCTGTGCATCAATCATTAATTTATTAGAACTATTAAAATTAAAAACAAAAATCCAAGTTTCATTGCACTAAAAAAAAATTCAATACTCCGGAAATATTTTCAAGTGAAATATTTTTGAATTCAAAATTACTCAAAAATAACAACGATGAATGCATTTCTTCCTTTTCATATTGACAAATTTTGAAGATTGTCTTTAAGAAGCGAAAATGGAGCAGAAAAAGATAACAATGCGAAAATCTTCACATTGAAACAGCGCGCAATGATTTCAACACTTTGTTCTTACTTGATTTCCATTTGCGTTTTGTGTTCACACTCGACAGAGAAAGGACGCAAAATGGACACTAAGATAAAGAACAAAAGGAATTCATTTATAGGCACTCAGAGAGCCATAAAGATGGAGAGAAATATTTGGGCGGCTGCCAGAAAGTGATAGATAGATAGATCTGAACATATATATAGATAGATAGATAGATAGATCTGAACATATATATATATATAGATAGATAGATCTGAACATATATATATATATATATATATATATATATATATATATATATATATGTGTGTGTGTGTGTGTGTGTGTGTGTGTGTGTGTGTGTGTATATATATATATATATATATATATATATATAATTATTTATATTATGCGCGGTACTTATTAAAAGCGCACAATATCAGAGATAGATAGCTAACATATTTGGTTGGATAGATGTGAGTTTGTGACCCTGAGTTTCACGCTTTAGCGATCGTCAGACAAACTGATTATTTTTTTAAATTTTGGGTTTATGTAGATTGCGTGTATTGGTTTTATTATGAAATAATTTTAATATATATATATATATATATATATATATATATATATATATATATATATATATATATTTGGTTGGATAGATGTGAGTTTGTGAACCTGGGTTTCACGCTTTTAGCGATCATCAGAAAAACTGATTAATTTTTTAAATTGTGGGTTTATGTAGATTGCGTGTATTGGTTTTATTATGAAATAATTTTTCTATATATATATATATATATATATATATATATATATATATATATAGTTGGATAGATGTGAGTTTGTGAACCTGGGTTTCACGCTTTAGCGATCATCAGAAAAACTGATTAATTTTTTTAAATTGTGGGTTTATGTAGATTGCGTGTATTGGTTTTATTATGAAATAATTTTAATATATATATATATATATATATATATATATATATATATATATATATATATATATATATATGGTTGGATAGATGTGAGTTTGTGACCCTGGGTTTCACGCTTTAGCGATCGTCAGACAAACTGATTAATTTTTTTAAATTTTGGGTTTATGTAGATTCCGTGTATTTGTATTATTGTGGAAGTGGTGGGGGAAATGTCATCGTACTGACGCAAACATCGATGTATGTTCATACGCCTAATGGAGTACGCAGACACATATACATACTTGGTCGTCCGTCGGGATTCATACATATATAAACATATATAAACATATGTGGACTGTTTCGGATATGACATATGTATGTATACGGGTGTTGTTGTGTCTGTACATACGCATTTGTATGTTGAAATTCAAAGATTGGGAGTGTAGCGAAAATTTCTCGTGAATGTCTCGTGAATGTATACATGTCATATTTTATTTTTCCACTGAATAATATGTCCTCGCATGTATGTGTATACGTGTGGTGGGGTTTGTGTAAAACTCTGATAGGTCAAAATATTTAATACATATAACAAAATGAAATATAACACCAACAATCACTTTTTAGTTCAAGCTCCCACCACAATAATTAAATTTATTGTTTTTATCATTCTCCCACCACCATTACTAATCACTTCTACCAATTTACAATAACTATTAGCTACTTATATTATCATTGTCACTAATCCCTTACATTAGTATCACATCACATCTACTATTATCATATAGTCCCGCTATAATTATTAACATAAACTACCCTCTCGCCCAGCATATTTAATATTAAATATCACCATATAAATTAACCAATAAGGATTACAAATTTCTACCTGTTACATATACACAGTCATCAAAAACAAACAAATAACCAGCTTTAAATATAACAAATAAACCCCCTTTTTTTTCAAAAATTTAAAAATAAATATAAATGATTAATATTTTTACCTATCATAATTGTACACAAACCCCACCACACGTATATACATACATGCGAGGAAATATTATTCAGTGGAAAAATAAAAGATGACATGTATACATTCACGAGACATTCACGAGAAATTTTCGCTACACATCCAATCTTTAAATTTCAAAATACAAATGCGTATGTGTAGACACAACACCACCCGTATACATACATATGTCATATCCGAAACAGTCCACATATGTTTATATATGTTTATATATGTATGAATCCTGACGGACGACCAAGTATGTATATGTGTCTGCGTACTCCATTAGGCGTATGAACATACATCGATGTTTGCGTCAGTACGATGACATTTCCCCCACCACTTCCCTAATAACACCAATACACGCAATCTACATAAACCCAAAATTAAAAAAAATGAAATAGTTTGACGATCGCTAAAGCGTGAAACCCAGGGTCACAAACTCACATCTATCCAACCAAATATATATATATATATAAATATATATATATATATATATATTGTAATTATTTATTCGAAAATTATAACACAAATATATTATAAAATTACTACGAAAATAATATCCATTTTGTTTCAACACTTCTGGTGCCTTATCAAGTGATGGTGTTGAATGTAGTATAAAGGGTTTTAAAAGGTTCAAATCAATCAAACGCTCTTACATAAGATGGAATGACCAATCAAAATACAAGTATATGAGTACTGGTTATATATATATATATATATATATATATATATATATATATATATATATATATATATATATATACCAGGGTAAACAAACACTAAAATATTTAAGATCGCACGCATTAAATGTGCTCAATATAAAGTTGGAAGACCAGACTTGCCTGGCTGCTCAATGTTTAAAAAAATATGAATGCTGACCAGAACACTACCGCGGTTTCGACCACTACGGTCTCCTCAGGTGGCTTCTTCAGCAAATCAGTCAAATGGAGCTCAACAACTTTCATTCGAAACCGGAAGTAGTGAGGGTGTAGAGATGTAGGGTGTGAAATGGTTATAAAAAATCCTGCTTGTAGGCAAGCCGTATGTGAAACGTCACTTTTTTCCACCATTTGTTTGAGAAGAAAAATATACATGAAAAAAGAAAGGTGACGGAGTGAAACAATGTTGCTTGTTGATAGCAGTTTGGTGATGAATGGATTGGGTGTTTAATGTTGACTGGGTCGTGGATTTTTTTTCCCCGAACCATTTTCGATTCTCACCCGGTCGAAGTGCAGTTGAAATGCACTGAAACGAAGTTGCATCTTTGTAGTGAGTAAAATGGTTTTGTCGATATGATAAAATCATAATAAATAAATAATTATCGCTCTACTATCGTCATCGAGCCCTCTTTTGGATTAATGCTGTGAACGTTGGAATTTATATATTACTTTCATTCTCATCGCATCGGATATATATATATATATATATATATATATATATATATATATATGAAAAGCTCGTTAAAAACTACTTTTTACTTATTGTTTTTCTTTTCTAGATATAAAGTATGTAGAAAATTTCCTGTATATCCGACCGCTTTCCGTAATTTTTTTTAGCTTTATGAAAAATGATACTAAATTTACTTTTTACAGAATGTTTGGATTTTTTGCGTGTATATATATATATATATATATATAGAGAGAGAGAGAGAGAGAGAGACCAAGTGGAAAGAGGAAAGCTTGGATCATATTTCTTGCGAAATGAACTTTGGACAATTTTTTACAGAATTCCCTCCTTGTCCGTGAAGAACAATTCGTAATTTGAAAAATCAGTCAGTAGAATTGATCAACACAAGATGTTTGTTGTGTTTAATAATATTTGCCTTTAAAACAATATATATATATATATATATATATATATATATATATATATATATATATAGCTAAGAATAAGCAAAATTTATATGGCATTTTTTAAAAACTATAAAAGAACAACCGGTTTCGTCCCAGGACTTATCAAGTTTATTTTCTGGGATATAAAAAAATATATAAGCATGTAAATTAGATTAATATTACGAATGAAAGGAAAACAATATGAATTTCATGAAACACACAATTCCTGTTATTTATTACATGCTCTGCAATGGAAGAGCCAGAAGTATTGGTTAGTTGGCTTTTCCTGGCAGCCGGATTCAAAATCCGGTGGGGGTAAGTGTTGTTTTATTCTCGAATCCAAACATTGGAACGTCCTCCCTATGTCGTCGAGGCCAGAACTACACTTATATTTATAAATCACTGAATTAACATATATATATACATACACACACACACACATATATATATATATATATATATATATATATATATATATATATATATATATATATATATATATATATATATAAACATAAATATGATATATATATAAGATATATATATATATATATATATAAAAATATATATGATATATATGATATATGAATAAACATATATATATATGATAAACAAATGTACATTTAAGGAATGGTATTTGTGGATAAAACTGCTCAGTATCTGAGATAGACCGTGTATAAATATAAGACCTGCACTGATTTCAACACCAAATAAGAACAGTCTCTTTCATACTTGAAAGTAATTTTCAGGCCATATATATATATATATATATATATATATATATATTCCACCTTCAAATTTTATTACAGTTCTTACAGAAATAAACCATCGACACCTGTCTCAATATATTACTCGTATCAGGGAAAATTACCTTGTTAATAAAGATTTGGTATCTGAACCGTTTAGGCTTGCGAACCAAAAGCGTCTCCGCCTCCTTGTGGGTGATGAATTACTTTTCACCCTACAACCCTTTTCACGCAGACGAAACCTCGCAAGCCTCTGACTACTCCATGAATATTTCCATTTAACTTCCTTAGATCCGCCAGTTTTAATCTTTAAGGCCAAACCCGCCATGCGAAGCACATTATACAGAACGACTCTCATTTGCTTCGTATTTCACTGGTGAGATATAAGATTCACTTGACCCTCTCACAAATTGCTTTGTGAAACCACCTTCCAAGAGGATACTTCGTCCAAGGCATGACGATAAACTACATCCGCGTCCTGGGTAAAACGATAAATATGTCCAACAGCAATATGAGAAGATACTGAAAAGTTCTCAATCCCGGAAAGTAGATAATAAAAAATAATTGCATAGAGTTTGAAGTTTGGGTATTTGGTCAAAATTTATGAAAGCTCGTCGGGATGAGATCTTTTCAGCTTTCCAACGTTTAATAATATTTAATAATATATTCCTTATACACTGTTTCGCTTTTTATCTCTGCCTGAAGAAGCCAAACCCAACACACGAAACTAGTCGTTTAAAATCTTTTTTACTTTCTCTCATCATCTCAATATATATATATATATATATATATATATATATATATATATATATATATATATATATATATATATATATATATATGGTTTCATTACTCTAATCTAAGCTGAATAGCATCTGAAAGTTTCAGTGAATGCATCCGAATGAAAATAAATGCCTGTGGGTTTCGAATCTCGAACAATGGAAAGCGTGAGAGACCGCAAAAATACATTACCACATTCCCTCAAAATATTTTCTTTTCTTTTCTGTTTAATCTTTATGCTTTCCTTTTAATTAATAAAGTTTTCATTTTTATTCTTATCAAAGTTCGAAGATTTTTACTACGAGAAACCGAGAAAAGAGAAGACAACAAACAGAGAAATCGTATTTCTAAACTCAGAAAAAAATTAAATGAACCAGTTTATATTTGTTTTGTTTTTTGTGTCTTTTTTGTTTTCTTAATAATCGAAGATCGTACCCCCCGGAAATTAATCAACGGGTTCTGATCAATCGTTCTTGTCTTTGAAGAATTCCTTTTCAATTACAATAGTTATAAGATTCTTGATTGTTGTTTGTTTTTTTCTCTAGGTTTGTCAGTTTTTTTGTTTTTTTTTTTCATTTCACTTTCCAGAAAGGTAACATGAAGGTGTGTTTTTATCTCCATGTCGTGAATGAAAGACGGTCAATATTCTGAATCGATTTGCTATTGTCAAAGGAAAATAAAAATGAAATGAAATAAAGCCATGAAACAAATCGTTTGTTGAACTTTGTCGTCTTTGTGACGTTCATTATCTTACAAATAGCCAAAGTGCCATCACTAATTCCGAACTTCGACAAAGACAAAACAATTCTTCTATTTACCAATATTTCGATATCGATTACCGAATGGATAATTTCTGTCGATTATTTGACTGACACAAGGAATTCTTTCTCTAAAGATATTTTGTCGAATTTAGAACAATCAGTTTTACTTTCTGAAACCTCTGTGTCTCTGTGATTCTAGAACTCCGGGTTCAAAGTAAACTTACGAAATTTGCTGGAATTAACGTCATTCACATGGGCGATACAAAATCCAACCAGCATAATTTTACTATATGCTATGGCCATAATTCTAACATAAACTACTGAGGGTACGCTTAGGTACCTAATGCAATATGGTGTCATAATAATTTGCATCAAACGAGTCCGAATAAATAAAAATGGTCGGAAAATCATTTGACGCTTTTTGCTTTAGGGAAATTTTGTGTCTTTTCAGCGTCCTTTCCGCCCCTTAATTTTTTCATTGAGTAAAAATTTAAGATCCCTGATCTTCTTGGAATGTGCCAATCCTTTCTCTACTTGCTCCTCGGATACGAGGCAGACGCCTTCCCCAAGACCATGAGGTGGTTTCGTTGTTTTTATTTTTTCTGCTTACGAAACATTCACCAGGGCTTTGCTACATTTTTGATGAGTCATGTTTTTTGTGGTGTCTGTGAAAGTGTGTCGTTGGGAGTGAAGACTGGTTTGGTTCGTGTAGAAGGGACTGGAGAGGAGATGGTGTGAATTCTTCTTTAAGCTGATCATTTTGGAAGGGGTAGAGTTTAATGATCTTTTCATTGAAAGAGGTACCATGATCCTTTTTGATGATGAGGAAGACGAACCAGAGGATAAGGGGACAGCCACCACCATTGGCTTTGGTTTCTTTTCCCGCTTTACGTCCAGTTCTTTTTTGCGTTGTGTCAATTTCAGATTTTTTTCCCAGCTACATTCACACTTCTTCTGTATATATATCCAACATCTCTTGTTGTTTTAGTAGTTCTACCAAATGTTGATTTTGTTGTTGCTGCTGTTTCTGTTCTTGTTGTTGCTGCTGCTGCTGAATGTCTAATATCGACAAAGACAAAACAATTATCTGTTCCTCGGTTAGAATATAACTACAACTTTTAAAAGGGTCACGGTTTTTGTTGAAGTTTACATCTTAAATACGCGCCTCTGTTGTTGTTTTTTCTTCTTTTTTTTTTTGTTTTGTTTGTTTTTTTATTTATTTCTTTTTCTCTCTGTTAACGAGAAATATTGTTTCGGTTGGTGTCGTTTAGAAAGAAAAAATACATGAATACCATGACACGAAATTCAAAATAGAAATATTTTAGATTAAGCGAAAAATCATTTTTCCATTAAATACTGACATTTTTCAAGAATCTGTTTTACATTATAATAGTTAAATTGTGTAAGCTGTTAATATATATATATATATATATATATATATATATATATATATATATAAAACAGAATGAGATAGATAGATAGATAGATAGATAGATAGATAGATAGATAGTGGACAAACTGAGATAGATAGATAGATAGATAGATAGATAGATAGATATTTCGGAAGAATATGTTTTTTTCCTATACCCAAGAGAATTTTTTTCATCCTCTACACAGGAAAAAGTTCTTATTTTTTTTTTTTTTTAAACCAACTTGGTTAGAATTCTTATCGGTACCCGTATCCTTGTTCCCGAAGCAACAAGTATATTTTCCGTACTTGTTCACTCACTATGTGTTTCCAAAATCCTTGTCAATCCAGTCAGCTTTCGTAAGAGTTCCTGAATCCTGGTTAATCTTATAAGTCATCAGAGTTTCAAATCTTCCTCACAACCGTCATCACAATCGCTTAAGTTTCAAATCCCTCGTCGACACTGCAATAAAGCGCTCCGTAGCGCTTATAATAAAAGTAATACTACTTAGAATGTGGCCTGTTTTACTTTGTCTGAAGACTGACTCCAAACGGCTTCTTCTTAACCTCTGACCTGGAGCTCTCTATATTTATAGTTATGGTCTAGTTCATAAAGTCAACGGGGATGTACTATTTACTCCAAATAATAATCCATGCGACATTTCAAAAGAATTATTATGATTAGAAAGGTAAGTAAAACCTGATAAAGTCGAGAAGTTGATAGACATGTTCGCTTGAAATCAATAAAACCGTTCTTTTCACTTCCAAGACGTCATAAGTAAATATGCAATATAAGTAAATATGAAATATAAGTAAATATGAAATATAAGTAAATATGAAATATACGTTTCAGATCGTATTTGCTGATTTGATTTTATTATGACAAATTACTTTTGCTAAACCTGACACAATAGATGGTAAGTTTCAAATATTTTTCTCTCTTTGCAATGCTTTTAAAATATATGATCTGTCAGGCAAATCTGTCATGTAAACAACATTGATTTAAAAGCCACTCTCTAACCTTTTATTGCTACCAAACAGTACTTCAATGATAAAAAAATGAAATCGGAACATCATTGGACGAAAATATTCCATAGATACAACTGTAACGTTCCTAGATTTCTTAAGATGTTTGTGAAAAATCAATAATTGCTTGCATAATAGAAAACTACAACTTTTAAAAGGGTCACGGTTTTTGTTGAAGTTTACATCTTAAATACGTGCCTCTGTTGTTATTTTTTGTTGTTTTGTTTTGTTTTTTGTTTGTTTGTTTGTTTGTTTTTTCTTTCTTTCTTTTTTTCTCTGTTAACGAGAAATATTGTTTCGGTTGGTGTCGTTTAAAAAGAAAAAATACATGAAAACCATGGCACGAAATTCAAAATAAAAATATTTTAGATTAAGCGAAAAATCATTTTTTCATTAAATACTGACATTTTTCAAGAATCTGTTTTACATTATAATAGTTAAATTGTGTAAGCCGTTAAACATATATATAAACAGAATGAGATAGATAGATAGATAGATAGATAGATAGATAGATAATGGACAGACTTAGATAGATAGATAGATAGATAGATAGATAGATATGAATAAGAGAGATATATACTAAAAGACAGATAAATATTAAAAATTAAAATAGATACCAACGAACTGCTACATTTTGTTTTTTTAATTCAACATTTTGTTGAATTTCATCTGCAAATTTCCGTACGTTTCTCAAATCTTAAAAGTTTTCACGGAAATATTTAGCGAGAGATGACGTCCTTAGCGAGATGGCGTCATTAGCCAGATGGCGTCATTAGCGAGAGATGACGTCATTCGAAATTCGATCAATCCATTTAAGAAACGAAATCACTGAGGAAATGCTCTAAACAGTATTAACAACATTTACCTGAACATCCGAGAGTTTTTTTTATAGAAAATATGTGTCCTCCCACAGGAATCGAACCTGTATCCTATACGGAACCGTCTTATAGCTTGGTGGGCTATACCGGTTTAGTTACAGTGAAAAACAGTAATTTTAAAACAGTAAATTCGGCCTTACTAGCCAGACCCTCCTCTGTAGTTAAACTGGTATACCATGTCAGGCTATATGACGGTTCCGTATAGGATACAGTTTCGATTCCTGTCGGAGGATATATATTTTCTTTGAAAATTTCTCGGATATTCAGGTCGGTAAATGTCGTTAATACTGTTTGTTATAAACGGGGCATTTACTTAAATATTAGTATCTATTAAAAAAAAAAGAATGTATAAACATAAAAAATATCTTAAAATAATTGTCGGACTTTATCCATTTCATAATGTCTGACGTCATTTGTTTACATTTGGATACGCATCGAGCAGATATGAATGTACGAGAGAAAATTATGGAGAATTGTAGTTTAAAAACAGTAAAATCGACCTCGCTAACCAAAACGATCCTCTGTGGCTAAATAGGTAAACGCACATCAGGCTATATGACGGTTACGTGTAGGATACAGGTTCGATTCCCGTCAGAGGACACATTTTCTATGAAAATTCTTCGGTAAATGTTGTTAATACTGTTTATTATAAAACAGAGCATTTACTTAGATATTTCTGTCTATAAAAATAACTTAAAATGATTTTCGGACTTCGTCCCTTTCGTAGTTTATATATATGTCTGTGCGTGTGTATGAACCAAATTATCGTTGACCCAGTAGATCGGCAACTTTATTATTATTCAGGATTTTGAGCCACTCTACTGTCTTTTTCGTTGTCCACTCGTATCTACCAGGGCGGTTAGCTAAACTCCGTTCAGGAATCTTTTTGTTTGTTCACCACCCACAGAGCCCGACTGTGGTTTATACTGCGACTATGCTGAGCAGACCTTAGTTGCGTAATCCACAGTCTGAACAAGGCTAGCACACTCAAACCCTCGGTCACGATGACTTGTGACTTCGTGCTAGCACACCCACCGACGGCTCCCATAAGGCTCTGTCTACCCAATTTTACTCAGTAGGCTTGGATCAACCAGTTTTTCACGTACTTTCCAAAGTACCTGAAAAACGGTACTCTTCCAGATAGCATCAAGAAATCGAACACTGGTCTCCGGGTCAGATAGCAAACGTTCTAACCAGTCGATCACGTGCCCATATAAGTAAAACGGGTTAAAATTGCATCCTGAAACAAGAATACTCCTTGATTTAAAATACTATGCAAAATGGGCGGTTCCATAATGGCCGACGTTAACAGAAATTTCCTTAAACGCAAGAGAAAATTTTAAGTGATATTTGTCGCTAGGCCAACTTCACACTTTTAATTATGGAAATTTTTTAAAAAATATCGCAATTGTCAAATTAAACGGCTGTATTGACAGAAGAGAAATGACGACTTGAGTGTGTAAACAGCAAATGACATGCAGAATGAAGCGACGGCTAATTTTCGTGAATAGCAATTAAATCTTGAAATGGAGGGCCAGTGATTTGTCACGTAATAGAGATCTAAGAAGTCACAGATATGATCAGATTTGCTATGGTGGGCGGAAGAACTCAGTGTGAACTACAAATCGGCAACCATATTGATAATGTTGTGGTGTCAGTAACAAGTAGGTTTTATCGGATGACGTTGATTGTTTAAGTATCAACCGTTTCCATCGATGACATTGGTTGCCGGCCAACACGAGAAAGACTTTTTCCGTTCTACTTAATCTTATATAAATGCTTTTTAGAAGAGCATAGTGCCAAATGATCACAGATTGTCTCAGCCGATTTCATGTTTCTTTCTTTTAGCCTTTAGGTCATCCGTACGCCAGTATAAAGGCAGAAGTTTTGACTTCCAACTACAAGATAGATAGATAGATAGATAGATAGATAGATAGATAGATAGATAGATAGATAGATAGATAATTTTGGTTGTTTATGGTAAGCGGTATATCAACACTTCTATGGGTTATTTAATGCCGATATCTAAATATTTCGTACACAATTTTATGGCTTAAACTAATGATTTTGTACATAATTTTATACTTTTTGGAAAGACATGTTTAGATATATAGCGTGGAAATGATAAATGTATTGCTGGTAATTTTACTATAAAAATAAATTTTTATAGATAGATAGATAGATAGATAGATAGATAGATAGAAATATAAAGACATGAAATTGATAAACAGAAAGAAAGAAAACAACGAGAGAAAAAGACATGAAGTTGATAGATAGATAGATAGATAGATAGAAAAGAAATAAAAGGACATGAAGTTGATGATAGATAGATAGATAGATAGATAGATAGATAGATAGATAGAAAGAAAGAAAATATAAGGACATGAAACAGATAGATAGATAGATAGATAGATAGATAGATAGATAGATAGATAGAAACAGAATGGGATAGAAAGAGAGAGAAAGAAAGAAAGAGAGAGAAAGAAAGAAAGAGAATGAGATAGATAGATAGATAGATAGATAGATAGATAGATAGATAGATAGATATAAAACAACGAGGGTAAAAGACAT